ACAGGGCATCCAACACACACACACACACACACACACACACCCGCACACACACACACACACACGCACATGCAAAGTGCCTAGTTGCTCGACCTTCATGTCAGTGGCCTATACAACAAAGAGCGGCACAGGCTGAAGTCGTGCTGCTGCTAGAAGCTGCTGGTATCCAACAGAGCACCGCTGACTGGAACTTACTAGGATAGACTTTGAATACCTCCATTCATACTTGGTAGCCTTGCCGAGGTGTGCCAGAAGACTTAGCTACTAGATCATGAATTCTCAACTGATTGACCGCTACACGGAACGCGCCACGCGACTTGACGTCAGTCACTGACATGTGCGTGCCAAGCGCAGACATGGATTTGCAGGGCTACCTGTGAAGTTACTGCATATTGCGACCGTTGAGGGCAAAGCAAAGCAGCATCTTTCAGTAGCTGTAAACGCCCGCAATCATTTCTCCGTAGCTGCCCAAACCCCCGGGTCTCGGTCTCAGAAAGGGTATTGCGTGGAAACCCTAGGTCAAACCCTCCACAGAATAAAATCAAGACCGCCTCCCTGCGCCCAAACCCCCTCATCTTGGTCTGAGACAGAGTCGTGGCTTCCACAGACAATACAAGGCAGGATCCCTCCACTCCCCTCCGCAATCATTTCCCAGCACACCTCCGCCCAAACCCCTTGTCTCCGTCTATATTGTGAACTCCGTGACCCCCGCGCAATCATATTCTGGAAGTGTTAAAGAAAAATGAACGATTGCCGCACAGCAACAATTAACCCCCCACCCGCCGGCAATATTTCCAATGTTGGGGAAATGTAGCTGCTGCTATGTGAGCTCAGCTTGCTCGGGGATTCTGTGAACCAAATGCTTGGAGCCTCCCAACCGTCACTGATAGGTGGTAGCCTTGCCAGTTTTGAGGCGCTTGCCCATACAGCGGATTATGGAGGAAGAACGGGGCCAGCAACACTTTCGTTCCCTGCACGTGGTTGCTCACGGATGCTTTCCTGAGCTTGCGTTCGAATGCTGGCCCATGACAAACACATGTTGTACGATGTTGAGTCTGTCACAGCTGCCAGGCGTCAAAACATCCTGGTACAGGAGGCGATCCACCGGATCAGAAAATGCCACGGATTCCTTGGGCGGGAGAGTGTTGAGAAGTCTGAAACCTACCACCAAAAAGTCAACCCCTCCACAGGCACAGCATTGTGGGATTCTCCTTTTCTCAGAGTATGCTCCTGTCCTGCTCTGGCAAAATTGGAAAGCCCAATTGCATCACTTCTAACTCGAGGACGCAATGCTACTTGACTGACCATGAAGCGACCACTGGACTGAGCGATATGCAACATAGAAATCTGGGTCTGCGTTGCAACTTCCGCGTGCCATCTCCGATCAACAATCCCTCCAAACCCGGGACACACCTGGATTTTCTCCAAATCGTTTTTGTCCAAAGGCCCCAGACAAAGAACCCCAAACACCCCCTTCACGGCAGTTGCAGGTCCGCTTTCGTCAGCAGCTCCCGCAGCGATTCGTAGGCGCCAGTCCCCGGCGCTGCTGAGGCGGAGAGGGCAATGCGAAGGAAACTCAGGTCCTGGTCTTCCGGTGTTCCAGAGTTTAACATTGGACCCCTGAGTTCTAAGGGCCTGAAGAAATCTTGAGTCCCATTTGGAGGAGTTTACTGGGTGTGTATGTGAGTAGGAGCAGGCATGCGTAATTAACAAGAATCTCAAGGGGTGAATGCAGGCTGAAAAAGAGGTTGGGGACTGGGAACCTGAGCGTCATGAGAGTCTGTCGAATTATGCTCTGGGCTGATATGGAGGATGTTGCCAGGATTGGCTCCAGTCATGCGTTTTGACCATGGTTAGCCGTGTGCGCAGTTGCGCAGGCAGTGAGAATTAACCTCAGGCTAAGGCGCCGCGCCTGAGCTTACCAGAAACAAGCAGTAAAGGGCGGGGGCGGACGGTGGGCTGAGGGAGGCTGGTTGGGGCCTTACCGCACTCTCATTGACAGCCAAGTTGCAAACAGCCACTGCAGCAAGTGCGACATTCCTGCTGGGAAGACTTGTATAAGAGGATTGCACAAAACTTCCTTTGCTGGTGACTGTCTCGCACAAGTCAACTGCTTTGAATGACCAGTAAAGAAGGCTTTCCAAAGCCGATCGATGAGCATGACTGCAGTACAATTACACCTACTTCCTCCAACGTGATATCAGAAACAGGAAGCTACGCATTCTCGAGAGCAACAAGCCATCACCTAGTAGCATTGATTACAGGAAATCTGATCGAATCCAAGTAGGTGGCACATAAGTGGACTAGACGGCTCCAAGTACAACTGTCAAACTCTCACCCTGCACTGCTACATTGAAGCGTGTCCAGATCTCTTCAGCCGAGCCAGATCTGACGGACGGTCCTTAATGCAAAGCATCCACAGAGACAATTCCACTAATCTTCGGCAAAGACTGCTGCTAGGACGGCTACCAATTGTAAGCGTTCAGCCTTCGTGGATTTCCTTCCAAAGCAAACTTGTATGTTGCAGGGGGAAAGCAGTGGTCAAGCTGCAGCCAGAGTAACCCTGCCCGAAACTTTTCACATCACAGTAAACTAAGCCATAAACGTCTTGGGACCTCGACTTGGCGAAGTGTCTGCCTGCTTCCGCAATTTGATAGCCCAGTTTCTGGGGGTGCTTTTCTGGTGTGGGTACGCATCCTAAACGGTACTGTAAGGCACTGTAGGGTCCTGATATACTCCCAGAACTATATATAGTCACCAGGTCCCAGACCTTCAAGTTCAAGAAATCCTCTATTGCCCGCGGAATACCTCAAGTCGTGTCCCAGCGACAGCTTCGTAGGCTGCAGCAAAAAGCTCTGCAAGCGCTGCCTCTGAAGGGGAGTCTTGAACTACGGCATTATGCTTCGTGACTCTGTCACCTTCGTGCCAATAAACTGTACGCATGCCGCCATCTGAAGTTCTACACAGTTGTTTTCCAGCCTGTCATTCCCAAAGCCTGGTACCGCACAAAGCATGCTCAAACCTTCTGGTGGTGCCTTGGCTGCTGCTGCAGTGGCAACGGCGGCAGATCCTGTCCCGCGCAATGTTGCGCAAATACATCTCCCGCTCTCTCTCTCTCTCTCTCTCTCTCTCTTCTTCTTCTTAAGCAGCCCACGCATGCCCCTTGCAGGGCACGTCAGGCTTGCACCCTTTTCTGTTGGCCCTGCATGTCCGCCTGTCATCATGAGGAACGGAGCGTCAACAATCCTGGCTCCCAGCTACATCACCATTGCAATGCAAAAACACTCCCAAATTTCATTTTACATTGGGAATCAAAGAATCGTTCTCCTCTCTTCTCCAAGGGGTTGTGCGACTTTCCTTTTCCGCTGCTTCCCCTCTCCCTTCAAAGCAGTGTTGAGGCAGCTTCTAGGATTACTCCCACCCCCTTTTCAGCTCTATTTGTTTCTTTCTTTCGGGGCGCTAGAGAACCTGCAACCCCCCAGTTCGAAGCCCTGCGCTCGCACAGGTCCAGCGTTTCTGGGGTCGGCGTGACACTGCACATGCCGCCTTCCAAGCTCCATAGTCATAGTCATAGAGCACTCCCGCGAGGCTCGGGCTACCGGCAATTGTCGCTCTTCATAGCAGATCGGCAGTCCAACAGGGCTCTCCCTCTGTCTCTTTGGCTTTGGCCTAGGGGAGTTGTGCCAAAGCACAGGCCACAATGGCCTCCCCTGCGTGTTCGTTCGGTCTGTTACCATGAGACTAGGGGTTCCTGACTGCGCGCGAGTGCCAATCTCGTTGTAGCAGACAACACACAGCACCACAAACAGAAGGACTACATGTTACATAAGATGACTCGATACAAAGGTTCTTCGGGCTCTCAGGTCCCCAAAGAAGCGAAACCGGTTGTTGCAAGAAACCTGTAAAAGGAAAAACCACTAGAGAGATTCCCCGGCACCAGTACGTTACATACCCCACCGGTTCCACAAATGAGAAGCATGCCCACAATTGGTTCACTGTGAAGCATTTACTGCACCTTCTGCAAAATGCGAGATCACTTAATGGTTGTTTTGGGTTTCCTCCGTGCTTGCGTTGGTTCCCCTCGGCTCATCACGCAGGTACTCCAGGACAGGCAGGGCCCAGTCAGGATGGCTCTCCGCCATCCATGGGGGATGCCGCCAAAAGCGACCACCCAGTCGTAAAGCGTGTGCTGTTCCGGTATGGCAGCAAGTGACGACGCCGGCATCATCGAAGATCCGGTTGGCTGCCCTTTCTTTTTATTTCTTTCTTTTTTTCTGCCTTTCGCGTGGGCTCTGAACTCTGGAGAGACCACTTAGGATCTCCCGGGCGCTCGCCCAGCCCGTGTGGGTCTGAGCTGTCTGAGTAAAGACCCCTCAACGAGAGCACGGATTGTAACCATCAAAGGGTAGGAATACTTTTTCTCCATGCTCTCTCACTTGCATGGTAGGTGTCACCATGGGTGTGCCAACTGTTAGAACCAAGTGCACGAATGTCTTAGTCATATGTGGTTGTTGGCTGGTGTGTGAAACTGCACGTGGCCCATGGAAACCGGCAAGTTAAACAAGGTGTTTTACTAGAAGGGACGCATGTTGTGGGCTCTGTGCTTGGTGAAACGTCCTAGACAGCAAACTGCTCTTGGGGTAACTGTGGAAACAAGGTAACTGTTGAACACTTTGGGCTAGCAAAACAGCTGCCATTGTGTTTTTGGTTTTTTCTTGTTTCGAGGATGTTCTTGAAAGCCTAGTGGCGTCGCACAGAGTTCAGTTGCCAGCTGCAGTGGGTTTGGACTTCCCAACAAGTTGTTGAGAAGACTAGTTGGGTGTTAGAGCCCTTTCTTTCTTTCTCTCTCTCTCTCTCTCTCCCTCTCTACCTGGTGCCTATACAAGAGTCTGAAAGAGTTCCCGCATGAACTTCAGATGTGTACATGAGTATATCTCCCACCTTGCGCCCCCGAGAGCTCGAAGACCTGCCTCAAGGCAAAGCTGGAGCATGACAGGGGCTCTCACGGCAAAACTAAAGTTTCAACCCGACAAGGGTCTCAGGCTTAGGTTTGTCAGATGCAGGCGACATTCTGGCAGGGAAGGTGCAGCTTTCTGGTTTGCTGACGGCTGCCGAGACAGTTGTGTTACGTTGAGTTTGTGCATCCTATCGCATCCATTCTCTCGTCCTGTCATTAGATGGCCAAGGACAGAACCCAAACTCGCCAGCAGCACTGGCATGCATTGCATACCCTCCTGCAAAGTCCTTAACATGCCCAGCTGCCCCCGCCTTAGAGATGGAAGTCTACTGTGAGCATGACCTTGCTCCTTATCATCTGGCTGCTATGCCGTAGAGTCCGAGAGTACAGCCCGAAAGTTCGCCGCATAGGTTTCCCTACATGCCCCGGTGAGCCCAGGGCTTGCAACTAATGAAATGTTCCTACTCCATTGCCAGCTTAGCGGCTTTGAGGCCGCTGCGAGCCGCTCGAAAACGAATGGGGAAGACTGGATAGGTACCGACACTGCCTTGGCCTCAGGCACCGTTTGGCAAATCTCCATGCATTGGCAGCAATGGTACACTCGCCCAGCTAGTGTCAGGTTTAAAGTGCAAGTTCATTATGTGTCCTAACGTGCGGGAACAAGAGATACTTTGAATGTTGGATACGCAGTATATGAGGCACTCTAGCCTGGACGGTGTGCCCTGTAGATGTGGAGGCTAAATTTGATGGGAAGCAGCGGTGAGAAAAGCACGCTGGCCACAAACACGATGGCCCGGAAGAGTGAGAGCAGTGGGTTGCTGAACTGCCCTCCATCCTCTTCGAGCTGCCAATCAACTTGCGCAAGCCGCCTTTTGCTCCTAATAGGTCAAAGGACAAGGACAAACCCTCGCGAACCATGCCTGGAAAAAATCGCAAATGGATCACAATCACAGACCTGGCATGACCACAATCAAGTGAATGAGAAACACGCAGGTGCGGAAGTGTGGACAGCTGAATCCCTACAAGCTGTGACTACCTTCACGTGATTGGTGAGCTGCCAGAGCTGTCGGCAAGCGCTACCTAAATGCCTCAAGTCGGGTAACTTCAGCGCTCTCTCCGGGCTTGGCCGCAAAGGCAGCGCTACCCCAGCCACAGGCCGGGCCTACAAAATGGAACACGACTTGCAGGGTGTTGCGGTTCGTCTACGGCTGAGATGACCAGCTGACTTGCCAGTGGGTGGAAGATGCACATGCAGCAGCAATCTTCCAACAAACTCTTCCGTCACTATCCATTCCACTGCTCACCACGCAAAGCATGAGGAAAGGTCGGAGACTCACCAATCTCAACATGGGTACGTCTGCGAGGCCGGTGCGCCAGCCCTAGAGCACCGTGTCTTATGAGAGAAAACAGACGTATGTTCATTCTGCCTACTTCGTCGTCAGCTAGCTTCCAGAAGTGCCCCAGCGAGCTGATGTTGCGGCTGGCGCTGGCCGCATGCCTGGCCAATCGTGACGCGTGTAGTGCTTACATATGCTCACCAAAGACATAAGGGCAAGAACAAGAGGCAACTCAGATAGAGGGGCTCAACAGCGTAAGCGAAGGAAGGCAAGGAGGCCCTCGACGAACTGCCAAGGCATTGGGGTATGTAGGATCCTGCAAATTATTCAATCTCCTTTCCTTGCGTATGATCTTGCAAGGTACTAATTGTTGACACCAGTGCCAACATATCAGCCCGCCGGCAGCTGGCAATCAAGAATGTTGAGCATGCCCTGAGGATCAGGTCCCTAAGTTCGAAGGAAAGGCTCTGACAGCCCCTTCTGCCCTTTATATGCTTGCTGATGACAAGCTCACCCTTTTACCCTCAACACCCGCACATCCACCCATTCCGAAGGCTAATGCTAATGCCTTCAAATGAGTGTCATTGCAGACTTGACCCCAAGACGGGAGGCCCACCTGGCCCAGATGCAGTTCACCTCTTCACTGCGGGCCTTCAGGAAACTGGTGATGGCTTCCGCCTTGGCAGCAGTCATGAGGTTTTGTACAGGCTTGGTGGAAACTAGGTAGCGGATCCAGTCTCTCAGACCTTGAGGATGCCTTGAGCTTATCTCAACTTAACATCCTCTCACGTTTCCACGCTCATCAATTCCCACGCGCCTTCTTTGCCAGCTTTGATTCGCCGTTCGAGGCCGCAAGGAGGGTTCTGCCTCCGAGTTTGACTTGAATTCAGCTGGGAGACTTGAACTTCATATTTTGCGTTCGGAATTGTCAAAGGAGCGCATGCCCAGGCAAGGGCCAAGGCTGTTCAGCAATCAGCAATCCTCGTTCTGGCGCCAGTTTCTCAGATGCACATGGGTGCGTGTTGGGAAAGCGCCCTGAGGAGGCCTATCCGGCTTGGCGTTTTTGCGGCCTCTGCATCGCTCATGGTCCTTCCGGGATGCTCTCGCAGAATGATGCGATGGGCCGAGAGTCTTGATAAGCAGGGGGGAAAAGATAGCGTGGTTGTGAATGTTGCGGCAGAAAGCTAGGCCATGCCCAAACAACAGGCGGCCCCCTTGCCTGCTTTTGCGGAAGGCTAGCTCTCTACCAAATGACAAGTTATCCATAAGCCGGCATATGGCCAAAGGTGGACTCGAAAACCACCAGCCCCTGACCCAACCACTCACGGCTTTGACCTGAGATCCTCCATGAATCATCCACATCCAAAACTCAACGCTCGCTCAAGCTTAAACCCATGTAAATAATCCTCCATTTCCTTTGGCTCTCAGCAGGTCCTCAAACTTTCCACAGCCAATGCTGCGCGGGTAGCCGCCCGAAGGGCTGGAGAGCTATGTTTCACCTGGCAGCTACTGAGCTACTGGCACACAATATGTTTCTTTGACAGATTGGGTCTTGGGTATATCGGGGCGAAGCATGCAAAGAATAGATGTCAGGATGCAGTACAAAACACATGGATGACAGTGTCTAGCACACATGACAGGTACCATTCAAGGCTCAGAAGAGGCAGGCGTCAAATGTCTCCTTCTGTGGTCGTGGTTCTCACGATCTGCCCAATGTGCCGGCTTCTGTTAATACTCCACAAGCCCACACGTTACCCCTGGGCATGTTAGCTGTTAGCACTGGCTCGCAACTGCAGACATGGTAAAACACTAATGTGCAGGCCATGCCTTCTACACATCCTGAAAACCTCTGAGCCCAGGCTCGTCTTTCAAAACTGAACGTGTTTGTCAGGGCTGACTGAACTGAAAACTTAGCTGGAGCAGATCTTCGGTTCAGGCACTTTTTGCAAAGACAGCGACAGATGAGGTTACTCCGAGGCATTGTGCCTCCCCGAAAATTCAAGTGATCCCCTGAGGTCCTCCTTTTCTGATCCGTGCGTCTGTTACGCTCTTCAAGATGTCATTGTCCAGGACCCCTTCCGGGAACGTGATACGTGTCACGAGAGCATATGGCACAGCTGCATAAAACCCTGCTGCGTTCTCAGCCCATTCTTGACATTCATATTTGCTGACTCCTGCTTGGTTTAGAGCCCCTGGCAAGCCAAGCAGGACAGAATGGTTCCCGCAGGATTTGTCGTTGCTCTATTTCGTAGCAAGCTCTTGCGACACCACCAGCTCTGCAAGAAAGCAGCACTAGCCGGATGGACAGGTTGTCTATGCTTGGCTGAATTCCCTGGCGGTTTGGAAACAAGAGGCATACCATCAGATTACAATGGCAACCGTAAAAGCGCTGACCCAGTACAAAAGTAGGAGGGAATGGGCAACAAGAACCGCTACGAGTAGCAACTCAGCTCATGTCGTCCCACCATTAGCAGGTATGGTTGAAGCCCTGCAGAGATACTGTATTTCCCAGGTCTGAAAGAAGGGTGAGCATCAAATTGCCGAATCAGCACACCAGGCAGGTGGGTTGCGACTGTTTTCTGGGTTGATGTGATTTGTTTATGTGACCTTGCACTCGCCAGGATAGGAGACCATTTTACCTGACTACACGAGATGTGCGCAGCATGTGCCCACGCTCTTGCGAAGCGAGTGCTCTTTCAGGAAGGTGTCCCTTTTCATTTTGAATTGCAGAAAGCTGGACACGATTGGGATGTTTTCAAGGACTACACCCTCGAGAGTTTGCAAACATTAGGGGCCCCATCTTCGACGCGAATTATCCTTAAGATGTACCGTGCAGGGGCCCCTAAGCACTTGATGCGGCTTCTCTTTGAGAAGCCTTGAAAAGTTTGCAGCCGGCATGCTTGCGTGACCACAGGCTGGGCGTTGATCCCTTTTGTTCTGTTTTCGAATCTATGAGTCGCAAAAACTTGTCTGAAATTGGTCTGGGCTTCAGAAAACAGAGAATCATGAATCAGCCGGGGCAGCTCATGAGCTGCCTGTGGTCAGCTTGGCTGGCTGCTGGTGCACCAAAGGTGAGTTCTGCGAGTTGCGTGCCCGAGATCTGGTGGCCTCGGGCGTTGCTAGCTACGTCTCGTGATAAAGGCACACTTGCCGCCTCAGACAGGTCATTCTTCAATCTTGGATTTTTGCTTTGAAACCACCCCTGCTTCGCCTGCTTTCGGTCTCTTTTCAGGGTCCTTCGTTCCCCCTGCCTGCGTTGCAGGCAGTGTTGGAGCCGGCACTGTGCTTCTGCTGTAGGCTTCATACCCACAGATTCTCTTTAAGAGACTCTTGTTGCGAAGACACAACAAGCTACCTGACAAGAGGAATGTTGGATGCAGCCACGCAAGTATAATGCAGAATTTCTTTTCAGGAGGCTAAGCCTCAACGCACACGGCGGCCACCGGTTTCCTCTCGTGATCTCTCTAGCGCGTGCTTACTATCTACAGGCATTGCCTCGTTCTGGGACAGTAGCTTCACATACTTGAAATTTTACAATCTGCAAGTGGGAGGCTGGCCTGCTCATGCAAAGCGCCTCTTGGAGGCCCATCAGACAGCAAAACTTGCGTTTCGCAAGGTCTTTTTGGGCGTGGTAGATGCTGGAGACCCCTGCTCAGTTCCGTTCTTGCCGTCCTTGCCTAAGAAAGCCATCAGCAACTCCTGCGTATCAGTTGCACTCATGAAGATATGTAGTGGAGATCTTGTCACACCCTGTGGTGATACCAAGGGAGAAGAATCTGAACACAAGGAATACTGCAAGCTTGTAAGTTATCACATCTTTTCACTACGCTGCCGAACTCTACACCTCGAGCTGGTCACAACCGGCTTGGTCCTGCATGTCAGAAACATTCTTCTCCAAGCTGGCAATGGAATCTCTTGTCACTTCGTGCTCGAACTCCATCTTTGCAATGTCCAAGCTTTTCCTTGACTGGCCGACAGTATGCTGCAACAAAAGATGCCTCCACGCCCGGAATCCTTGCCACGCGCCTGCTGCACACTTGAGGGGGCGAAGCACCGCTTGAAGTTCTCTCTGAGATAAAGTTGCAGTCGCATGTCTGTCTGGGCCAGCCCAGTGGAAGTGAACCCCAGGCTGCAAGACTACTGCAGGCAAGAGGCGCAGGCCCATGCAGCCTGAAGGCTGTCGGAGCAAAACCGAAGCAAGGGAGCAAGGCGCACAGCAATGTTTCTTCTTGCCCCAAATACTTTCAGAAGCAGCAAAAACTTGAAGTGGTCTCTATGGACTTATGGTAATTACGTTCCATGTCAAACCCATCAAAACTCCACAAACTTCTCTGAATTCAAAGTTTGCCGGACCCGCTGCTCACGAGCAGGCCTCATACAGCCAGAGACAAACTCGTCCATGTCAATCGTGCCGCTCCCGTCGGTGTCGATCACCTGGAGAAAGTGATCAGAACATGATTTTGGTAGGGCGCCCACCCAATAGAATTCGATTCTAGTTTTGGTTGTGGTTCTGAAAGCTATAGCAAACAGGTGTCGTCTAGAAATATTGCCTAATTCCTAGTGCAAATGCTCACTTCCACTCACATGGAGTTCGCGTGCTGCATGGCCGAAGAACAGATACCCAAATAGAGGCTCAAGGTACAGCACATGAATGATTGCAGTTCCCTGGTAGGGTCGTGACATGCTGCGCACTCCAGTTTTGCACATCAGGTGACTGCCGACGAGCGCGCCTCTTTTTTTCATGTTCTTAACTTAAGCATCCTTGCGAGAAATCCATGCGACTCTTTCAGGACCTGGAAGTTCACAACAACCAACTTTTGCTTCTGGACGTCAAAAACGAATGACCACTTGAATGGTCATTTGGCTGACAGGCAGGCTAACAACAGACGACTACTGGCCTTGAACAAGGTCCATACATCGCCGGTCGAGATGCCCATGGACTCAAAGAAGCTCGACAACCTCAGGAACGTTTGTTCATTCAGTCGTGGATGGGGGAAGAGCTACTTTCAGAACAACTTCTGCCTTCCACACGACTCCCTGATCCATGGCTTGCTATATAGATTTGGGCGAGGGTTCCCAGAGCTCAGCAGATATTAGAAGGATATCACAATGGCCTGATTCTATCATTGACGGACGCAAACGGATTTGAAAATGGAATGCGTGGCTTCTGCCGCATAGAAGCTTGTGAGCAGACATGGCGTCCTGGCGGCGCAACGGATTGTGTCAAGCACTTTCCCAAAATCCACTCATGATCCCAGCAGCCCCAGCAACATCTATAGCTCTGATTGCATCACGTGTTGGTCTGTCACATACTGCGCCACGGCGTGAAGGCTGGTAGCGGTCTTTTGCCAACTGCAAGGACGTATTTGAAAACAAGCCAGCACAGAGCATGTTGCTTCAGCTGATTGACTAACAGTCTGCGGGACACCTCTCTCACACCAGCTGTGGAGGGAGCCCTGAAGTCGGAGCACCAGGTCTGGCCTTCAGATCCTGCATGTTGATAGTGTCTGTTGACTGGTTGTTGATCTCATTGAAGACGTGCTTCAGCACTTGAACCTGCGGAGAGTTTACCAGTTTACCATTTACCTCCATCTACCTGCAAACTCTTAGAAGACTTGACATGACTTTCGTACCTAATACCTCGTACTAGCAGGTCCCCCCTCGTGATGTAAAAACCCTTTGCAGGTGCCTGCAGCCATGGGATAGTCCAAGCATGCGGACATGGTACGCTTCCAGCAGCAAATCGGATTCTGATCAATGGGTTCACACCTGGCTACTGATCAAAACCACGTGCCCTGCGTGGACGTCCCTAGGCCGCTTGATCCGGAGGTTCTGGAACGCGCCTTTGATCCGGAGGGTCTGGAACGGACATAACGGACGACTTACACTTGCTAAGTCGTAAAAAAAGTGTACAGGGTTAGGATTCGCCAAATGCATCCAAATGCTTTGCTTGGTCTGGAACGGGTATGGAACAGGTATGGGCACGGGCATGGGAGATAGTGCACTCGTGCATGGCCGACGAAGGATCTGGAACGCGGTTTGGGAGCTTGTTTCGGAACTCTGGATCGAGGTCTGGATCGGGATGGCCATTTCCCATTGTTCCGGACCGGTTATATTGAGCGGCAGCCATAATCGCAAGCACACCTCAGAAAGTTTGCCATGAACGTTCTGTTCGGACTGCCTGCGCAGCTTGCTTTCGCATCTGCTTCATGACCGCGATGTCCTTGTCTGCAGCGGCACTTTCGATCGCCTTGGCTTCTCGGCCAATGATCCTACATCTCCAATGAACAGCACCTTTCGGTTTTTTGAGGGTTGGTACTTGAGAGACTATTGTGATCGCAATCGCTTCCCGCCACTACGTCATGTCGTCATGTCGGTGTAAACTTGTTTTGCCTAGCATGGCTTCCCCATGGCATCTGTACCCATAGCATTCCTACCAGAGCTGGCAAGGGAAGCCGCGCAGCACAGGCTATCCAGCAGCTTCATCAAACCAAGCTACTGTGTTGCAGAATACGCCCGTCACGACATTGACGACCGTGAAAACCTTAGGCTCAAACAGAAAAGGAGCAGAATAGCGCGTCTTGCTTCTGCTTCATGTAACGGCCAGAAAGACAGCATCCTGCGATGGGTGACTGACACAATGTTTTGGATTGAAATATACAATTTCCACCTGCTCAAACTGCTTCCAGAGCTTGGTCTGGGGCACCCTGTGAAACTTCCACCAACTAGAATGGTGTTGGGCAAGCTCTTCTTGCAAATCGGGTGTGAGGCCTGCATCCTGGCATTTAGGTGGAGCTGTTCAGCTCTTCTAACGTTTTGCGGCTGTTGAGGTCAAACCTCGCGCGGCCAACGATGGGTGCAAGGTCCACGCTCAGGAGCTGTACTTTAGACTGCCGCCAGCAAGGCCCTCACTATGGACACATGCCCATTCTTTGGTTTTGTGCCCGGGCTGCTGACCAGACCAAAGAACGTACGATATCCAAGCTGAATGGGGAAATGCTGAATGCGTGGCTGAAGCCAACGCTTGCACCCCGAGCACCATGAGTAAGGCATGCTAGGCCCAAAGACGTGTCCATGAAGCCAATGAACCCTATGCCTGTGTGTAAACGAGGCCTGCCTGCGAACCTGCAAGGGAGGCGCACTTTTGTGATGCAAACTCGGCAACGCACTTCGGCTAACTTACACACCTGAGATGAAGCCCGCAAAAAAGTAGCCCTGCAATCAGATGCTGGTCCCTGCTTTGATGATACGGACAATGATGAGGACCAGATTAATCCAAGAGGCGGTGATGATGATGTACATGATCAGGGCCGCGAAAGCGAGCGGAATGTCTCGCAACGCTGTCAGCCCCTGAAACGCTTGTTTCTTCTTCTTGTTTTTTTTTCTTCTGGGCAAGTCTCTGAAGTTTGTGAGCTTCTCATAGGATTTCAGGAGCTTATATATGAATGATTCACACGGGGGCCTTAAAAAGTACCTGAGAAGAAGCTTTGCAATCACGGCTGCCTGAATGGTCGATCATGCATAAGTTGCGGCAAACGTGCTCTGAAGTGGGAATGCCAAAGTGCATGTGCCCTGGACGACTTGACACATGCTCAATGAAGAAGACCTTAATGCGCATGCTGGTACTTTTCAGCAAGAGCACATCGTCCCAATCGATGCCACCAGATATGGCCATGAACAAGGTCAACATGCTTTCCTTGGTTGCACATGTGCTTGCAAGGAGGTGGTCCGAGCGCGAAGGAAGATCGAACCCATCTCAAGGACAGACACCTGCACGAACATGAGTTCTCTTCAAAGATGCTGAGTGTTGTTCATTGCTTGCTGATGGCCGTGTCTGCAGAATGTAAATCAGGCCGTGTGTGTGACTTGAGATGTAAAAAGTGTCTACTGGCTTGTGCGGCGTTTCGTACAGTCGTGCAACCTCGGATCCCTTGCTTTGCTGCTGAAAACGAACCTTAGGTAGGAGAAGCTCAGTGGACTGAGCCAATGCCAGCAATGTCCACCTATCCACTCTCGCAACCTACGAAAACCCTCAACAAGCCTCTGAAATGTATCCCTTTAAGTGCCAGGCACCTGAAGCCATGGATGATCCTTGACCTCTCAAACCCATGAAAACTCACCGGGCGCAGGAACCTATATAAAACTCTGATAACCGTCAAATCCGGCAAAACAAAAGCCCTGAACCTCCCATTTTTTTGATGTCTCCGTCTCAGCTCTGAAAGTTGTAGCCTGGTTCTGGACTGTCTAGTCACCAAACTGCAACAACGTAGAGGTGGCTAGTTACAAAGCAGGAAAATAGCAACAGAATGGTCAACTTTTGCAAGCAGTTTTTCGCGAATTCTGCATAGCAGGCTTGTCTGAGGAACCTCCATATACAATCCGCAAGTTCCCAGAATATGTAAACACCTAGGACCTAGGAATACTAAATGTGTGACATCTAGAACTCCGCGCCTGCGCATGCCGGCGCAAATTTCTAAGCCACATCAGCAGCTGCAGGGGCAAAGGAAACATTTTTCTCCAGCCCTTGTTGGGATGCTTTTCGGATGCTTTGTGAAGCCTGCCTGGTGCCAGACCGCACCCGCTCCAACCGCCTCCCCACCCCCACCCGGCCCAACCCGCAACTGAAGTGACATGAACATACATGAACCATCATGCCCGAAGCAGCAGAGCCATGAAGAGGAGTTGCGATCACGCTTGACCAGTATCTGCTGGGACCCATGTAGAAATATGGAGTCGACCTTAGTTGTTCGGCTTTGGAAGAAAGTCAAACATACCTGCGAGAATGGACTATGCTAGTGTCCCAAAACCTCACTCCAGTTCTTGCTACAGCCCAAGTGAAAAAAAACTGAAATCTTGTCGTTGGACTCTTCGCCACGCCCTTGGCAAGCAAAGGAGGTCGCGGTGCCGTTTCCCATAGGCAAAGGCTGCAACTCGGCAGGCTCGCAGGCTGGCTCTCAAACTACAGCAGGCTATGGCATGATAGCATGCAGTATTGCCATGAGGAAGCGCGACAAGCATGCAGTTGCGTGGTTGAAAGGCTTGCAATCCTGGACAAAACGCTGCTTGTGCAGGAGCATTGCATGGGTTGAAAGCCAAGATTCCTCGCAATGATCTGATACCAGCTGTGTAACGAGCACCCCAAAGCTGTAGAACCTCACGCATGCGTGTCACAGTCCTGCGACAAGGACCCATCGCCCGCTTTCTGAATTCAGAAGCCCAACCCTTAACCTGTCGTGTGCTAATCCGCGAAGACCTTTCACAACGGACGCTTGTCGCAGTCAAGGTCTGTCAATACAATTCCCAGTGGCCAGTAAGTCACAAGCAATGCATGTGACACGTTAGCTACTTTACAGTGGGGCAACTCTTCGAAGCTCCCTAGCACACAACCTCATAAAGGGCCACAAAGAAGCTATCTGCCTCTCGAAGGTGTTGTCGCAACCACTGCATGTCAACTTAACGTGTTGGGCCAAGTTGCAGCAATACTAGCAGCACAATTGTCCAAAACAGCGACGCAATGCTGCTCATGATGGACCTTGGACATCCAGCCAATAGTGCCGCGCATTTTATGCAAGGAAGTTGGGTATACCTACCCGAATTTTTCTTGGGGAAAAGAGACAGGACACAAGTACACCCTCTGCAAAAGTGGGTGCATCTCGCAGATAGCGCAACTTCAGACAGACCCAAACGTAGGCAACGTAGGCTGCGTCCATGCGACAGCAAGAGCGTCCTCAAGGCGCCCACATAGCGGAACCTGGAGTGAGTTCCCAAGTTCGTGGTGGCTAGCAGCTAAACTTAAACGTCTCCTGCTCTGGGGCCCTGCTCAAAAGCTTAGGCAGGGCTGAGAGAGTAAGAGATGCGAACACAAGCTTTTCCAGCAACATCCAAAAACCTAGAATTGAGCGAACTTAAACAAACATTCATTGGGAAAGTGCGTCCAACATTTGCGCTTGTGCAGCTTCTGACATGCCAGTATGCATCTTGTGGCTCAGTAAAGTCCAAGCAAAGATGAACAGGAAACCTTGGTACCAAACCAAAGCCCTCAGACCTCAAGGCCTGCGTCCTAGCCTCTTTCTAACAACATAGCCTCTTTTTGGCTGCTCACGCAAGCTGCCTGGAAGCATGCTAGTACGTACCTGAGCACTCGCAACAATAAAGCTTAAAGCAGGCGATCAAAGGCCCCTTCGTGCCTTTGAAAGCCACTTGTGTTTGCGAGCAACCAGACCAAGAACTAAAAAAACACAAGAAAGCCTATCAAGCTTCACTTCATCCCAGGGGCAGTCGCATGACCCGCACCCCGCGCAGGGCACGGGCCAAGCGTATCGGCCGCATGAAGCGCAAATGACTCGGACTGACCTCCAAAAGCCAACAACATTGCCAAATATTGTCACGTCTGAATTTCAAGCTGGTGCTGGTACTTGCTAGCAGTGCAGTGCTGCTAGCAATGGGATAGTGGTAGTATAAACTTAGAAGCAAGACCCGCTCCAACATGAACATTGAAATCTCATGTACAGCCGCAATGGCAGCACGAACTGAACAACCTCACGAGTTCTAGCGCAGCCTACGTTCCGTTTGTCCCTTCTCCTGCCGCCCTAAAAGGCCTGACATGCCCTGAGCAGTCTCTAGCATGCCTTGCTATGGATGGCATGCCTTGGGGAAACTATATCACAAACTCTTGACACAAAGCTTCCGTCCACATTCCATCTGGTGTCTCATCATTGGGCTTTTGGAAGTATAACCCGGTGTGTCGTAAAGCCGCCTGAGAAGATGGCACGGCGTTTGCCATAAAGCTAACGACAGTTTCCACCACTGACCTGAGCTTGCAGCTCGTTTTCGGAGTTTACAGGCTTGAGGCTTGTGGCGTTTCGGGGCTTGCATTGAAATCACCTGTGCCAGTGGAGAAATACTGCCTGGGACATTAACATGCCCTTGCTCAGGCAACTAAGGATTCCACCAAGTCAGGGTAAAAGCCACGATTACGTACCACATAGCCAACAGACTAAAGAATCCACGGATTGCAATCTCACATGGAAGACAATAGAAAAATCTGTGATCTGAACCAGGACTTGCCCAACTATACTTGTTTGGCTACAATGTACACTGGCTCTCTTTGATGCTAGGCCCGCCACCATTCCTTATCATTACTGCAGGCGGCTGTAGTGCTAATGCTGCCACTGCTGCTGCTACTGCTGCTGTGGCTTCTCGTTTGGTACCCGCCCTGCCACCCTGACACAGAGAGTATATGACGACGAACAGCGATACAAGTGGTCGGCACCGCTGCAATTGCAGAAGCGGCGGCAACAGCGGCAACAGTACTGACAAACATACTGAGCGACAATAGGGGGCTGGCTTCAACCATAGTATCCTCCTGTTACTCCTCTCGCAACTGATGCAGCAGCAGAGGCAGCTTAAAATTCGTCAATTTTTCAATTTCCAACAGCCCACGTACCAAGCCAAGACACAGTATGACGATGATTAGGTCGAAGAAGTTCCACCACTTGTCACCACTACAGCAGAAACCCCAAGGCCCATTGGCGATGAAGTTTACAGTAATTTCGACTACGAAGATGAAGACCACAATCAGGTTCATGTAGTCAAAGTGTATAGGCACGTTGTTCGACCCTTCCCGTGCTGCGATGTCAACTTCGATTCCGAGGGAGATCAAGTTGAACAGGATAACGAACATAATTCCATAGATGAACACCGAACTTCGAGAGAAGTACTGCGCGACATTTTTTGGGCTCCTCCAGTTGATGTGGGGAGGCTGGTCGTCCTCTGCTGTGTGCATCTCAAGCTCACCTGTTGCAGAGGATACCGCATACTTCTTGCGATTGGCGTCGGCGTTCTTCTTCTGGTAGAACTCAGCCTATGCCATGCGTGGCACAGGGTCCTGAACTCTGAGGCCTTTCGTCCGGGAACTGAGGTTCGAGACTGCTAGTGGGGTGTTCAAGGCTTCTGTCTCACTGGACCTTGGAGAGCTGAATGTCGGGCCAACCGTAACGCAGCTGATAGCTCGCCAACATTGCGTCCAAAGTGCGTGGTGGAGAAATGAGGATTATGTTTTGCGCATCCCTGGCTTTGAAGAATTTCCTTCCTGGTGCTTCCCCGACTCACCGATTAATCTTCAGGGTCTCCCAAGGGCTTGAACATCTCCCAGCTTAAATGCCTCCAGCTCAAGGACCCCCCAAAAATCACATCTCATGTTGCGTTACACTCCAAGTTGCATGAAGACATGGCCATATCTCTTTCCAAACAACATTCTTTAGATGCTGCAGCCCGAGAGGGGTTCAATACACCCGTGCTCCGAATGAGCTGGCTATTCCTCGAAAGACTTTGTATATGTAGTACCCCTGGAAGTTCTACACGCTCCCCTCACTGTTCAAACCCCAATCCCAATCACAGCCTCAGCATCACCGTCTAGGCTGCTGTTCTTGCTTGACAAGCTCCTTCTCTTCTGTTGCTTCTGCTCGTTCAGAGCTCCGTCCGAAGTCACAGCCCTCAGAGCACGCACATCCCAAGCGCTGAGAGTGACAAAAGGACATAACAAAGGTAATCCGCAACTGCCACTAGTGGCTGTCAGCCTGAGAACCTCCATGGTAACTGCGAGGCATATTAGAGTCCTGCCTTTAAACAAAATGTCGGCGCATTCTCCCGGCACAGCAAACAGTCTTGGTGAGAAAGCTAAATGGCCCAAGGCCTTGAAACTGTTTCTCGAGACTCAAGGTCAAAATGGCACGTCTGCAAGCCACTTCCTCCCTTTGCATTGTGTGTTGTAAGTTCACCCTGAATGCTTTTTGGGCTTGTGAGGTTAAGACTCGCAAGCAGCTAAGCACTAAGCAATTTCGTCTTTTGGTTCGCCATGTTTATATCATCATTACCGCCGCCACAGCGCTTCCCTGTTTTGTACATCCGCGTTTTACCCCCGGCCTCTCAGCCACCCAATAATAGCCATTTACCAGGGCAACGTATTATAGCAGCTTTGGCAACTATGAGCCCAAAAACACTACCACTACCCCCAATTTGACATGGAGTGGCTCCGCTGTGGCTTCGCGGGATGTGTCTGGCGAGAAGAGCAGCTCTGGCTCCTCACCTCGGAATGTTTCGCTGCCTACGGTTTAAGGTTGAGACTTTGGGCGCTCAGAATTCAAGACGTGGGGTCTATGCGCTAAGACTATTCAGGTCATGGCGCAGGGTTTCTCATCCCAATGCACGTGCTGCTGCCTTTTGACCAGTGGCGCGGGATGCTTTGTGCTGATGGCGTGGAGACTTGCTTCTCGAAGCAAACCGACCGGCGATGGGGCCGTAACAACTCTAGCAAGCGTTTTATGCTCCGCTTCAGGGTATCTGCCTCAGAACAGCACAACCCGCGAAAAAGCCCATAAGACTCCACGATTGCCAACCGTCCAATGCCTCAACAAACCCGTGCTCGGAATCATGTTCAGCCAAATGGCTCTTTGGGTCATAGGCGGCAGACTTTGGCGTGAGCAAGGGGCCTCGGTCAGAGACGGCTTCCAGGGCTTTCTTTTCAAACCGCAATAGGCCCAGTAACTTGCATCTGTGAGTTCAATCTCTCAACATACAAATCCGGCTGGGTTGGTATCCGGTCCAATTCTCTATGAGACAGACACTTTGACAAAATGCTCGTGAGGATATAGCTTCCACAGTCCAGAGGCCGCACGCAGTACAGCAGGAAAAACTGCTCTTTACCTCAACCGGTCCGTGAGCTCACTCCGCTCTACTCACCCGCATATGGGAACCCTTCAGACCAAACAGGTCACAAGTACACTACAATGATCACAAGTACGCTACCTTAGGCTAGTCCATGAATGCCCTGGGACAGATCTTAGATGGCAGTGAACATAAAATTGGGATGAACACTTCGCTTCCCGAGCCATGCATCCGAGGCGCTTCTGGGAGGCGAGGTCCCGTTTGGGACAAACTCTTCCCCCTGGCATTGCTTTGAACCGCAAACCTTGAGCCCTTTGTGCTTTACCTAACCTGTCAAGAGATGGCAACTTCATCTAAAAGATGCTGGGAATTATGAAGCTCTGCTCGGAAGTTTTACACCGGCAAGCGCATGATCATGCATCCCCTGCTGCACTTAACTGCGTGCCTTGGCTCCGTTTGGAAGCTGCAACTTTCCACTTCGCGACAGCTCAACCTGCGCAGAAATCAATCAAGGTCACAATTTTGCTCATAAAGCCATTTTTGTCTGCTACGCCTCTTGGGGATTCAAAGTCATGCACCTGGTTTGCGGCCCTTCAGGAGCCAATAGTGGTTTCCAGCCGGGTTCTCCACAGCTTAAAGACGATGAGCAAAAGAGCCGGCACAATGCTGATGCGACTTAATTTCCAGTTCCATTCAGGGCATGCGGAAGAATGCCAAGAATTTCGCCCAGGAATTACTGCCGCTCTGCAGGCCCTCCAAGTATCAGAATGTCAGGGCTCACATCGAGGCCTACTGCTCAAGCAGTAGACTTCCACTGGGAGTATAGGCTTCCAATTAACACAAGCTGAAGTGGCCAACTGAAGTTCGGAAGTTGTATGGGCAAGACTCATGGGCAGCGCTCAAGCTACCTTTGCATGGCATTAGCCTGTACGCCGGCATGTTTACGTCTTAAAGGCAACAACATGCAAGGACAATCAGGCATTTTGCGGATTCAAGCAAGAAGGGAAGGGGAGAGGACACTTTGAAGAAAGGGTCCTCCTTTGCACTGATGTCAGCCTGGCATGTCAGAATACCTTCAACCTACAAAGACTGCATGCTTCAAGACAAGCTCTGGCAATGAGAAGAAGAGCTGTGCCACGTGCAAACGCTCGAGACTTAACTTGTGGATCTGCTACCCGTCCCCGCAAGTCGTCATCTTCCACCCCCAAAATCAAATCACATACTGTAGCCCCCAAGCTGACTTGTCAATCTCTTATGCCTTTGTTGCCGGAAACCCCTGAACCCACCTGGCGGCTTAAGCCTTGAAGCAACGCCGCTTGCTGCGCGAACTGCCTTGGATTTTCCGCGGGAGATTTCCGGAGATTGTTTGAGATTATGATTTCTAGCAAATGTGTGTGGGTCCACGCTGTGGATCTCGTGGGCTGTGCTGTCTGTCTACTACCTTGATGAAGAGGCCAATCCTTGGGGACCCACCATTACATCCTTGTCCAGACAAGCATTGAAGGGACTGGTGGAGTTTTGCCCTTGACGGCTCCTGGGAAAAGCTTGAAATCTCTGACCTTGGTGAAATGTGGCGCAACATCCGCATGAAATCTATGCATGACACCGATAGGCCAGCGGCACAAGATTGCTCAATTGACTCAATTTGCAGCGGCTCACACAAGAAGAGAACAAGACATGCGAGTTGAAAGTACTTACCCCAACCCAGCCACAACCCAACCCAGCCACAACAGCAATAGTAAAATGTGAGAACAACAGGACCGTCTAACACGATCGAGGAATTTGCTGGTGCTTCTTTCATGTTATGCTGCTCGGCCAAATATTCTGCCACGCTGCCCTGCGATGAAGTTTCGCAAGTTCTGGATCTCTTGATTCACTGCAGTCTGATCCCACATCTCAGGCATGTCAGCCGGATGTGGGTCTGATGACCATTCGATCACCATCGCTTCTTCGCGTATCATGCCCTTACCCGTCTAGGGCTTGTTTGGAGCCAGATTTCTGCAGAGCGCCTCGTCCTATGCCTGCCAACTAGAATGGCTGCCAGGCAAACCACATCAAGCTTAACAAGCGGCACAGCTGGCGGCACTGATTGAAAAAACACCTGCTTCAGGTTTCAAGAACGGGGAATGCCTGCAGGCAAGTCCTTAGTTCCAATGAATTGTAGTATGACCTCTATGTGCTGTTGTATGCAAGCCGAATACGTCATATCGGGTCGTGCCCAAGATGAACATCCCACCTGTACATTTCCAAGCCTTCTGCACTAGCTGCTGGGTACCTTGCATTCTTTGCTCCACCTCAATATCTGCATACAGTAGCCTCCTACCAAGTCTTACCAACTCCAGTACCAGAGTAACAAATTGTAACGTTTACCACGGACCAGGCCGACATTGAAAACCTTTCAGAAGTACGCAAGCCTGCGCAGCACCGAGCGGGTCCGTGGTCGGCAGTGCTAGGCTTGAGCAGGAAGAGGTCAGGACGCGCTCCAGACCTGGTTCGCTGAAGTTGAACGGAACCAGTCCAGGGCCTAGGAGGCCTGGAGCATTGTGCAAAGATCCTGATATGTAGTTAGATTGCTAGCACCAGCTAAGCACTTCTGTAGATTGTCCCGCAAGTCTCGGTAGTCAAAGCGTGCAGGACAACCACATGAATGTCGATTTGGTCGCACCGGGGTCGCTAGGCGGCAAACCGCACAAAAAGCCAGTAGCCCCTGAACAGCTTGCATTCGTCACAGTATGGAACAAGTTATGTACTCCTCTACGCAGCAAGGTTGCTGGATTAATTGATGGGGTCGCGCCTTCCAAGATGGCCATAGACACACCGCCTGCGAGCGGATGATCAAGCTTACTCTATGCCACAGTTGACACAGAGCCGCCCCCGCTAAATGCCTGAAACGTTGAGCGCTGCTCAAATGACCCGGACTCCAAGCTGAATGGGAAGATCCAGAAGTGTTGTGTCTAGATGACCTATTGTCATCAGCATTTCCAGCACCAGGGGATTGTACTTACACTTCTGCTGGTGCAAAATGATCTACTCACGTTCTACGACTCCTCTACCCTGATGCCGCTACAGCAAGTACTTCTCAAGGCCTGGAAGGTCGCCCTCCTCGGCTATGTGAGCAAGATCATCCAGGGTTTCACCCACCTCGACACGCGCTTGTGCAGAATGGACAGTTCTCGAAGTTGGAGTGAGCTCTTTTTTGCAACGAGGAACCACTTGCAGGACCCAGAGGTCCATCAACATCCATCAACTGGCTGAGTCGGGCTGGTTGCCGGTGGAGTCAGGAAATCATGGTGTGCAATCTTGATGCTGGGGCACGATAAAGCTGGCTCACTGATGAAACTTGACTTGGACATGT